AATTTTGACAATCCCCCATATAGGCATGTATAGGGATACCATCATGTCTCTGTATATGGGATGTGCGGGTACATGGGCTCCAGAGAATGGAAAACAATATGGAAGCTGCTTTTCTGTTTAGGACTTGGGGTTTAGGATGCGGGGCTCGGAGTTTTAAGATCTATGGGTTCATTTAGAAATTAGGATTCATTGCCCAGAGCTTGGGATGTAGGATTTATAATTTGAAAGCCCTAAACCCTAAACNNAACCCTATATCATACCCACATATTCCCTTATTCCCTCAAGCCCTAGGGTTTAGATTTAGGGCCTGAGCTGGTATAAATTGCCTACTCCAGTTGCTGCACCACTTTCAGGTTCGTGGCAAGTCAACACGTGGTCATGAGCAGGGCAGCTATATCGTAGGTTTCCAAAATTGGGGCAGTACAACGGCGAGCCTAAACATTAAACCGTAGCCGCGGTTAAAAAAAAAAGGAAAACACATCCCTTCCTTATCACAATGTTCTAGGTAACCTTCCTCTGCCTTGGGGTTTGCTGTTCAAGAACATATCCAACATGTTCAGCACATGCTACACTAGTGAAGTGCGGCATTGGGCTGGTAGCGGTTGAGTGTTACGACCAGGCGGGTGAAGTCGCATCACGGTACAGCCTTGGCGTGGGCCATGGGCTGCCCAGAGGTCTCAAGTGCTCAATTGTGCTATCGGTTGGTTATGGATAGCGTTATATTTTCCGTCAAAATCATCACCTGGGATGGAAAACTGTCTGATCAAACTACTTGACGAATTACCCCGCCCTTTTCGGGAATTTTGTTCTTCGTATTGGTGAAGGCTTTGATGAAGGGGAAATGACTTTAAGGGAACAGGGAACGGCCAAGACTAAATCAAGATGCGCGGGGGTATCTTACTGCCCCAGCTGGGGTATTGTAACCTTCTCTTCTAACTACTCGTGAACTACAAGGAATGGCAGATACGATGGATGGGGGCAATCTTCCACCACCTTGTACAGTACTTGGGTGGGTCCTACATGGTGCGAAATTCCTCCATCCACCGTATGACGCCCATGAGTATTGCTGTTGGACTAGGATAGCAGCGAAGGCTGCATAATCCATCCCTTTATCGTCCCCACCAAGCCAACAGAATCCCCCTCTGCGCACTATATAGGTCGTTTGAAAAAATTCTGGGCCCCTTTTGGTTATGGACTATATTAAGACACCTACTATTCCGGGGTACCTAATTTGTGGAACTACCCATATCATGTCTGCGTGACCTTGAGACAGCAACACCTCGCCTGTGCTGGTGCAGGCTCTGCACCGCCCGCCCCAAAGATGTCGAGGAGCCCAAGATCTCCTTCTGTTGGGGTTATATTGGGGTTATATTGGGATTACATCGGGCTTATATTGGGGTTATATTGGGATAATGGAACAGAAAATGGAAACTACTATTTAGGGTTTAGGGTTTAGGTTTCCCAGCTTCAAGATGTTGAGGTTTAGGGCTGAGAGTTGGGTATTTGGAGCTCAGGATTTACGATTTCGTGATGGACAACATCCTGCAGCATTCTATAAAGCTGGACCTTTTGAGATAGACCTAAACCCCAAACCCTAAACCTTAAACCCTAAACCCTAAACCGCAATAGAGCTTGACGGTATACTTGAGGCTGGGCAGTGCAAAAATCAGCACATCAATGAACTAAGGGGGTAGGGGGAGTTTAGGGTTTAGGGTTTGGGGTTTAGGGATTAGGGTTTAGGGATTAAGTTTCAGGGTTTAGGGTTTAGGGATTAGGGTTTAGGGTTTAGGTATTAGGGTTTGGGGTTTAGGGTTTAGAGTTTAGGGATTAGGGTTTAGGGTTTAGGGTTCAGGGACTATCTGGGCAAGGAAGTAGATTCAGATTCTCCATTGTGATTTGGCAACTATAGCGTAAGTTCTCTACGCCTTCGGTAAGGTGAGCAAGCTGATGCACTATGGATGCTTCATACTGGTTTGTCTAAGGCATAGGCTTTCTGGGAGTGGTTTTTTGAGTTTATGGTTGAGGGTGGTCAGACTAGGTTTCTTCGCCTTCTAAATTCTAGTTGCATGTTTCAGCTTAGAATCTAGAACTGCTGCATACCAGGACCCTCCTTGTACCCTTAATTGGGGATATATGGTCCCTAATAGTGGGCACTTAGGCCTTAATAGAGGGTAGGAGGAGGGTCTAGGTATAGACTGAGCGACGACGCTAAATCCCTGAGGCTCGAGTCACTTCCCATAGCAAACATAACGATGAACTGAATCCACGCAAACCCTTCTGAAGCCCCACCCGCATGCCAAAGCCAACGCGTTTCCATTTTGATTTTCCATCATCCCCACATAACCCCAATGTAACCCTACTGTTACCCTAAACACCTAAACGCATTGTGCAGCCCGCGTTGGGGCTCAGCCCTCAGAATCGCCCCGCCTCCTCCTCCAGCGCCGCCAGAAGCTGGCGCAGGGGCTGCAGCAGCACCCCCATCGAGAAGGTCGAGAAGGTCCCCTGCACCACCTGGCATATGGGGGTTTCCCAAAATTAGGGGCACTTTGTGGGGGGTCCCCATAATAAGGATTATAATACATTGGGGTCTATATTGGGGTACTCTTATTCTGGGAAACTACCATTTGGGCTTGACTCTAAAGCCGCAAGTTTAAGGCCTTTTCGGCTTAAGGGTTTAGGATTCGCCTTGGATGTCAAACCTTGCGTCCACCAATAGCCCATACTTTGTGGCACTGATATGGTGGTTCCCACAAATGCTATGGGATCGCCCACAGTTAGGAGGTCACCCGAAGTAGATTGTAAACCAAGGAAACACACAACCTTACTGTCAACCCTCACAACTTGAACCCGAAACACCCAAAAATCCGCAATCTAAGCCCACCCCAATGCTCTAAATGACGTTAGTCCACTAGATCCCATAAGCCCTAAACCCAGAAACCCTCAAACTCCAAACCCTTAAGCTGTCAACCCGCAAATCCAAAATCTGCACAGTAAAGGTCCAAGTACCCAACACAACAACCACATTTAGGGTTTAGGGTTTAGGGTGAAGCCTGCATCACAAATTGCTCGTACGTATCAAAGTCTCAGGCACCCTACCCCCTGAACCCTACAACCCTAAACCCTAAAACCCTAAACCCATATTGGGTACATGGACCCTCGGCGACCCTTCACCCCATCATAGCCTCAGGAGCCAAATTACCAATATCATGTTGAGATCTATTTGAGATACCCTGTACTATGCCTTGGGGTTCAGGGTTTAGGAATTAGGGTTTAGGGATTAGGGAATTGGTTGTTTAGGGATTAGGGTTTAGGGTTTAGGTACAAGGAACCTCAGACCGCAACATTGAACATTATCCCTGTACAGCCCTATATATGCCCAGCTTCCATTGAAACACATCAATTTGCCAATTTGCTTCTCCATAATTACTCTAAACCCTAGACCCCACATCCCACACCCTGAAAAGATACTTGCTTTCACGTCATTTTCCATTGTCTTTTCCATGTGATTTTCCATTCTTGGGCTGCCATCCCTAAACCCTAATCCCTAGAGCCTCAGCACTAATCCCTACACCCTAAACTCTACTCCCTAAATCCTATAGACCCCCTTGGACCCTGTAGACAGTAAGCCTTTCCTTTTTGGCCAATGCCCGCCTCCACCGCTGGGTGCCACAGGAGCCTCTCTTCCCCAATAACCAGGGCTAAAAAAGTTCAAACTTTATTACATTTACCAAAAAAGAAACCCTAAACCCAAAACTCTTGAGCCCCTAAACCCTAAACCCTAAACCCGAAACCCTAAACCCCTAAACCGCAAAAAGGCTAAAGTTCTTCTATCGACTAAGTAAGGAGCTGGACCAGAGGGCTGCGACGCGGGAGCATCAAGCAGGTCGTTCAAGTCTAGTAGATCCTTGGGATTTTAGGCCGTTTAGGCTTTAGGGTTTAGGCTTTAGGGTTTAGGCTTTAGGGTTTAGGATTTAGGGTTTAGGATTTAGGGTTTAAGGTTTAGGGTTTAGGAGTTGGAGTTTAGGGCTTAGGATTTAAGATTCAAGGTATAGGATTTAGGGCTTAGGGTCTAGGTTTTCGGGCTTAGGATTTAAGCTCAGAGTCAGGGCGTCGGGCCCGGGGCTTGGGGCATAGGATCTTCAGTTGGGATGCAGGATCTATGGGGCTCAATTGAGAGCTTCCACGAATAAGGGCCTCAACCCTAAAGCCTGAACCCTAAACCCAGAACCCGGAAGGCCTCTGTTCTAGGCCTCCTCCTCACATTCAAACTAAACAGTGGTGTTTAGATAGTCCAGCTCCAAGTGCAAACAGATAGGAAGGAATGGAGTGGCGGAGCTAGTCAACGTGCGGGATGTGATAGACCGGTTTAGGGTTCAGGGTTGCCCATTGCTTCAACTCTCTCTTTCAACAGGCCCCACGAAAGTTCAGCTCTTGTATAAAGACCATATATACAAACCCATGTTGTAAAGTTCTCTCTTTGAGAAAGTATGTTGAGCCCGAACACCAACGCCCTAGGCCCTAAGCCCTCTCTTGCATGCCCTACTGTACTTATCCCCTCCTCGAATACGACACCCCTAGAAACCCCGGTAGTAAATGTTCCCAATATATAATAGAATACATCGCGACTGGAATAGTTGCTATTAGGGGGCAGGGGGAGGCAAGAAAATCGTACAAGTCGTACCTCCCCTATGGTTTTGGAGATTCCTGGGCTCTTTAGCTCCCCTTATTATATTGATATAGAGTCTCCCTAGCTCCTTAGCTCCCCCAAGAAGTAAAGGCAGGTACTGAAGGCTGACACAGAATCCTTGCCTCCACCCACTGCAGGTGCTCTAGCACCACCTTGGGGGGTGGCTTGCTGAAATCATGGACACCATTTTGGAGGGGTCCCTATACGAAACGGTCTAAAGTTGAACCAAAGGACTGCACTTGATTCTGGGGGTTATCCTAGTTTTGCAAAACTGTACCTGAAGGCACTTCATCTATTGAAGCATCACCGACATCTCTGCTTTCCGCCCCACCGATTTCTCTCTCTGGAACTGGCATCCGATCCAGGATGCCGGCTCCTGGCTGATGGCTTCAGATACTGGGTAGATGGTTGAGGGTTTCAGGGTTTGTGGGGCTTTGGGAGTAGGATGTTAGGGGTTTCGGGTTTAAGGTGTTGTGGTCCAGGGTTTCGGGCTTAGGATGCATAGTTTTCAGCTGAGGGTATGCGCTGTGAACTGAAGAAACCCCTTCTTCTCACACGGGCTTTGTACCGTCAACATCTGAACCACATCCCTAAGCCCTTGGCACCCGTAACCCCTTAACCCCTAAACCTCTAAACCTTTAAAAAACCAAACCCTCTTAAACCCTAAAACCAAAAGCACCTACACCCTAAACCCCAAACCCTTCTAAACCGTAAAACCCGAAGCTCCTACACCCTAAACCCAAAAGCTCCTACACCTTAAACCCCAAACCCTCATACACCCTTCCCTACCTGTGACTCCAATTACCCACAGTTTTATGGGTTATACCTACTAGTAAACAGGTAATTACCATTAAACTGTAGGTAATCGGGGTTACAGGTAGACCCCTAAACCCTAAATCCAAAACCCCTAAACCCTAAACCCTAGATCCTGTACTCCTAAACTCTAGATCCAAAACTCCTAACCCTAAATCCAAAAACCCGAAACCCCAAACCCTAAACCTTCA